AGGCGGTCAAGCGCTCCCGCAGGAAGGCCCCGGAGCCCGCCCGGATGTCTGTGCGGGAGCCCCGCGGCTGACCCCTCGCCGCCGGCCTCCCCCGCGACGGGCCTCCCGGGGCGATGGGCCTACCGGTGAGGACGTCGCGCAGCTCCCGAAAGTCCCGGCTGTTCCCGGCCCGGAAAGCCCGCAAGGCCTGGTGGGCGTAGAAGAGGACGGCCCAGCGGTTCGCCTCCGCCTCCAGCTCCATCCTGCGCGCCTCCGCCGCCTCCTCGGCCGCCGCGGCCATTCCCGCCCAAGTGAGGCCACCCGCGCGCCGGAAGGCCGGCCGGAAGCTTTCTTCCTCCCGCCTCGGGAGCGCCTCTCCCAGAGTGCTTCGCGGGGGCTCTGGGGCGCAAGCGCACTGAGCGCCTGAGGCCGCCCCGCCCGGGCTAGACCCCTCGAGGGCGCCGGGACTTTGATGGGGCGGCCGCTTCCCTGCGCCCGGTTCCCCTCCCGGGTCAGGGCAGGGCCAGGGTGCTGCCGCGAGTAGCCGGGCTCGCCCTGCCCGGGAAGCCGGGGGACGCTGCCTAAGGACCGGCTGGCCTGAGCGCGAGGCCTCTCTGGGCCGGGCTTCGGCCTGGGCCCCTTCGGCAACCGAGCGGGACTCAGCGGGGTTGTGTGGCCTCTTTGGGGGTGGCTGGCGATTCGCGGCGCCTCCCGGGACTCTGGATTGGGGGAGCGAGTGGCTCCCGCGGGCCCTCGCTCCACTCGGGGCAAGCAGCGAGATTCAGGGTCAAGGGGGCCGCGGTTTGCGCCGTTGGGGGTCTCTGGGGTGCTGGGGGCGGGCCCGGCTGTTGCCGCTGGGCGGAGCTTTGCCTGCGCCCCCACTTGGCCTTCCGCCTCAGAGGGGCTGCATCGCCCGGAGGGCGTCCGAGAGCTACTGGCAGCGAGCCTTTGCAGGGCGCAGCGCCCGGGCCCTCCCCGGGCCTGGCATGAGGGTCAGCCAAGCGTTCTTTTCTCCGTTCGCCTTGCCAGGAGGCAGGAACAAAATTACGGCCGTTCCGGCTGCACAGGATCCGTGGTTCCAAAAGATCGTGCAGGCTGGCAACATTCCCCACTGATGCTCCTTCCACAGCTGGGAAAGCATTCGACCCTCACTCTTGTTACCAACTTCTGATGGGACCAGCATTGCTGCTGTGCTCTTGGAGGGGATGTGGAAGCAAAAGGAAAGTTAAAAATGGTTCTTCCAAGTGGCAACTAGTTGGGCTCGGGAAAGCTGGGTCCCTGCTGGTTGGCCACTTGGGATGCCATGCCAGGGAGCCTTTCAGGCCTGTGTCCTGCCAGGACTGCCATTTGGTGTTTATGTCTTCCGCTTTACCACATTTGGGAGCAGAATATGCACAGGGAAGGAGCTTGGGATGCCCCAGGTCAAGGCAAGGCTTTTGGGACCCCAGGAGAGGAAGCAATCCTCTGCAACTGGATGTGCCACAGGAACCATCAAATGGGCTGAAACAAATGGGTGCTGCTCTGTTCTAAAAGGAGATACGGGGGTCAACCTCTGGTGTGTTCCTGCCGCTCACCTGGGGCCCACCTCACCTGCAGCAGGGACTGCTTCCTGGTCTATACAGGGTGGAGGGGGGGCAGAGGTTTTTTCACACAAACATAACTGAGTAGAAGCAGATCCCAGAGGAGGAGGGCAGCAGCCCTGGTTTTTGTGCTCTGTACTGGACAGAGTCTACTCAGTTATGTTCAGCCCCCCCCCCCCCCCCCCATAGCTACAGACCTGACCACAGCATGGGTAACTTTTGTGGTGCACTAATAAAAGCATTTGCTGTTCTTCCTACAAAATCTGCCTATATGTGGCTATCAGGGAAACATCTCCTCAGAGCAAGGGACTCTGTGTTCCCCTTCCCCCAAAGGGATGTTCTGCGGTTAGAGCACAAGTCATGTCCATGTGATAAAACTAGTTTCACAAACCTGTTCCTGTGCCCAAGGTGAACCAGTTGTGTTTGTGAAGGATTTCACCATTTTAAAATGGAAACGAAATGCTGCCAATGCCCTTTCAATTATCTGTAATGCTAAATCATTGGGAGCTAATGGATGATTGTGATGGTTTTCCTTTTGGCAGCAGATTCTTTTCCAGATAAGGGCTGCACAGACAGAGGGGTAGTTTTCTTTCATGTTATAGTCTTGGGAATATTGATAGTATCAGGATGGTAAGCAAGTAAAATCATAATGATACACCCCACCCGCAGAAAGCTTGCCCATCTTATTCTGATCTGATACATACAAATCACACAAGACTTTTAGAAAGACTTCAAGACCAGGTTTAATCTGCTTTTCTTCCCCTCCCTCCTTCCCACTCTCTGGAAATGCTTCTCTCAGTGGCCAAAGGCTAAGAGGGGCAGGATGTGGCTCATCTCGTCGAATTCAGCCTTCGACTTGGGTCCTGCTTCCCGATTCACCCTCTCCTTCCTGGCCACCACATTCTGCTGCTATCCCAGCTTGCCCTTGCCGATACTGACAGGACTGACTTCAGGCTTAGCTCCGAGTCAACCTGTGGATCCTCCATGGGATGCCCAACCCTTTTTTTATCCTGGGCTTATCTGGTGGGGGGCTGGATGCTCGCTGTACTGTCAGCTTAGTTCCCCTTGTCGTCTTGCCTATTTCAGGCTGGGATTTGCCAGCAACAGTCCCAGGCCAAGCACAGCAAAATTTTGGAAAGATCTCCAAGGACTCCACCTTCCTAAAACTCCACCTCTCATGTTGGGCATCCTTCGCTATTGTTAGCTCTTCGATGTAGGCCAGATGAAGAAGCAGACCTGCTGGGGATTCTCCATAGAATAATACAGTCCAATAATTGGTAGATAATTGAAAATCGCATTTGTGTTTTTAAACTTTATTAAAACTTCAAGATATTGAACTGAAGGAGGACAACTAGGGGGCAAGCCCCTATCAGATGTCAGTATTCCTCCATTGTTTACACTTTCAGCAGAACTAACATTGCTTGGTAGGGGCTGTGTTTCTCCTGCACACATCCACCACCACCTTTGTATCCAGTGGCTATTCAGGGAAAGGAAGTGGGAGTTAATTTGTTCAGTGTCTCCTGGGCATTAAGGAAACTCCCTCAGTCATTCACTGCAGGAGGAGGAGGAGGAAATGCCAGGAAACCATTCAGAGGAGGGCAAGCGGAAAATTAAGGGAAAGTGAGCAAAGGCACTTTCATGCCATTTAGGAAAAAGGATAGCATTTAAAAAGAGGAAGTTGATTTTTCACCTTCCACCTATAAGTACCAGATGCTGAGTTTACATTGTGGGGATTATTGCAGGCAACTCAACTCTGGTCAAAGTTAATATTTCCATTAAATGTATGTAGCTTATGAGTAATTTTTAACAGGATGATAAATTGTTTATGACAGTTTTAACAGTACTGTAGAACTTGCATTTTAAAGGGAAGAATGTAGAAAAGATGCATGATTTTATGATCACAGTGACAACTTCCCTTGTGTTTGAGAAAAACGTTCTCCATATTACAATATAAAGACCTCACTGCCTGTCAGCCTTCAAGTAGTTTTCTTGACATCTTTTGTTGCTTGATTCTTGTTGGCTGCCATAGAAATGAGGGCAACCTTTCCCTCCCAAATTTGGCATTTGGAAGGGAAAGGTTGCTGGAGTGCGAAGACATTACTGTCTGAACTAATAAGGAGGGGATGCTTTCCTGCTTACTGCGCAACTGCATAGACTTCTCTCTATAAGGCAAGGTCAACCATCTTTGGCATACCAGATGAGTGAGAAACCACCTGAAGATGTACCCATGACATTATACACACCTCAGATTGGATGACCAGTCTGGACTCCTGGGGGAGTGAAATTGGTATAACTTTATGTAATTTCCATGCCTATTTATTTTATTTATTTATTTATTTATTTGATTTGCCAATTGTTTACAAGATAATAAGTATAAATGTATACATAGTTGTGAATACATGAAATGGTTACATATAAGAAAAATAAAAGAATAAGAGAAACAATAGGACAGGGACGGTAGGCACGTTGGTGCGCTTATGCACGCCCCCTTGCGCTTATGCACGCCCCCTGCGCTTATGCACGCCCCAGATCTTGCTTTTCTTTTGTTGCTATCACTTCAAACTCAGTAAAAGTATTTTTCTCTATTTTAATGGAGTGGAAGGATTTCTTTCTTGGGTTTTGAATCAGCTGACACTGCCATTGATGCAGCCTCCCTTCCTATTTTCCCTCCCTCTGGACCTGAGCTGCCATTCATACAAGGCCCCCCTCAAAGAAGATGAGGGGATACATGAAAATAATGTAGGTGGGTTAAAAGTATGTAGGGGGTTCTTATTAAAGTTCTATCTATCCTACCAGAGTGAGTACATGACTGTGTGCCTCCTGCTGAGTGTGCTGTCCAGAGGAAGCGAACAGGAAGGTCAGGAACACCAAGACCACCTTCGCATACATGACAACCCCTCAGAAGCGAATTGTTCTCTGGACACAACAGTGCAAGATGTTCTGACCCCACTAGGGAGCACTGTTTCTAAGCTCTTGCTCTGTGTGCTTGTGTGTGAGATTAAGTATGTACATAAAGACATGTAGATAAACAGACAAATAGTTGAATTGTCTGAACTTGCTTCCCAACCTCAACATTTTGTGGGCAAGCAATGCCTAAAAACATGGGTTGTTCTCAAGAACCAAAAGCCCATGTGCATTCTGTTCATCAGCCTTCGAGGATCTCTTGGCATGCCTTGAAGGAGAAGAAAGGAAGTGGGGAGAGTCACCAGCTAACATTTCCTCATCCACAGTTCCCCCCATGGTGTCATTAGTGGGAAAGTCTCTAGTTTCCGTGTGCCAAAAACAACATGGGCCAGGAAGAAGCAAATTATGCTTGTTTGGCTTTTTGTCTTGACTGCCTGATTTATGAGCCTCAGTGCAATGATTAGAGATGAAAGAAAACATTCCAGGAGAAAGATCTACACATTACAAAAATCTCCTGTGCC